AAAATTATATCTTTTAAAAATTATATAAAATACAAAAATGTTACATAACTGAGTAATTTTCAGTCAAACTATCACGGCAGTGAAAACAGAAAAAAAGGTTTGGTCATATCATGCAGTGAGACCATGTCATTTTTTATGCTGTACTAAAAGGTGCATTACATTTATGGACTTAGTGGTTGCTTCAATTAAATGCACCACATTCCAGTCTTGTAACCCACCTTTCTTCCCAACTGGTCCACCTTTTCCAGGCTCCCCAGGCTCTCCCTGTTGTCCTATAAAAACATCAAAGACTAGATATTTTTAAAGCAAGCATAAAATGGAAGAGAAAAGTAATATTTACTGGTGTAGCAACCTCCTAGGAAAACTAGGGGGAGCTGGTTGATTATTTTTTAGACAGGAGGCTGAATAGCAGCTGTGAGTGAATAGAATGAGGAAATGGTGCCATGGGCACCTGGGGAGTGCTGACAAACATCCTTAAACAGGGTTTTCCAAAATGGAAATGCGGATTTGCGTCGAAGGGAGGAGATCCAGTGTCTAAGCTACATATATCGATACCATTCTGCCGATAGGGCTCTATGGGTTTCACGAATAGAGGACCAAGAAGGAAATGAGCGAGAATTCAAAAAGTGGCGTGCTTGAGAGTAGCCATGAGTAGGCCACCAGGCAAAGGCGTGGGGCTGTGTCAGGCCCAGGGGGAATAGGGGGTTGTGCAGTAGGGACAGAAAGGGGAGTAGGGGGACATCAGTTTGTCCGAGTGGAGAATCGAATCCCAAACATGTAGGCTATGAGTCATTAGGGGGCTAAGAGGAGAAGGGCGGGAAGAGGTAGGGAGCCACAGGAGGGCTGAAACCGGGACTGGAGTGCAGTCAGGGATTTCCAGTAAGATCAATAGAAGGATGTCAGAGGTAGCGTGTAATAATGTTAATTGGGAAATTTGGGCTGCTAAGTAGTATTTCGTTACATTGGGGACCCCAAGGCCCCCCTCTCAACCTATGGGCATAAAGGGTGGTGCATGCCACTCTGGGGCATTTGTTGGCCCAAATGAAAGTCATAATCTTATTTTGGAGAGATTGCAGTAAGAAAGATGGCATATAGACTAGTAATTAGTTTAGGAAGGACCGTCATCTTGATTGTGTTGATCCGCCCTATCCAGGAGAGAGAGGGAAAATGCCAAGAGTTCAAGAGGGAAGTTACCGTACGCAAAAAGGGGATAGTAATTAGCAGCAAAGAGAGAATAATAGGAAGGGGTCAGTTACACCCCAAGATAAGTGAGAGAAGAGGCTGCCCAATGGTATGGGAAGGAAGATTGGATAAGGGGAATCGTGGAGTCCAGAAGGGAAATGTTTAAGGCTGTCATTTTGTGAGGATTGACTTGGAGGCAGAGATTTCCACAAATCTGGAAAGCAGGGAGTAGAGGTTAGGGAACATAGTAATTGCTTTGGTAGAGTCAATAAAGCATCATCTACAAATAGGTTTAGTTTATATGAAGTTCTGGCTTAGGAAATCCCTGTGATATTTGGGTCCATGTGGATAGCAATCGCCAGTGGTTCAAGAGCAAGGATAAAGAGTGGCACCCCTGACAATAGGGAAGGAGTTGAAGGAACAACCCACCTAGTGGACCAGAGCCTCCGGGGTAGAATGTAACGCTGAAAGCCAGGATAAAAAGGAGTTCCCGAAGCCCCAGTGATTTAGTATATAACTCAGGTAGTACCAGGAGAGGGTGTCGAATGCTTTGAAAATATCTAATGAGAGGAGAAACCTGGGAATGCTGCGGAGATTCATAAGAGAAATAAGGTGTACCACCTTCCGGACATTATCTGCTGCTTGATGGCCCAAGACAAAACCGACCTGGTCTCTGTAAACTAGAGTGCGTAAAAAATATCAACAGGTATACGAACGCTAGGTAGTGCAGGGAAAAGCAGCTGACATAAAGGCAAAACCTCTTAACCTTCATAAATCCAATTAATGTATGCAGCGCTAAAAGAATGACACATGTAACATAAGCAAATAAAGTTGCGCTATACGGCACTAAAGTAATTCAAGTGCAATGTACGTCTGTGGACGTTAACTGTGCAAGTGGTGAACTTAGTAATGCAGTAATATATATAAGCACATAAGTCCCAAACTTTATAGGGGGTGAAGAAACATGACTCCAGTGATGTATAAATAAGTGTATAATGCACTAACCAGATAGCGCAATATTATGCTCATTTGAGTACTTAAACCACTCCTGGTCCTCTGGGTATGGAAAGATGAGTATCCAAGGATCAGCTGGCCAAATGACCCAAAGACAGGGGGGATCACTCACAATGGCAGATGCAGGGCAGGACAAGAGTCCACCTTGAAGGGGGGGGAGGCTCACAATCAAACGAGCCCAAACAGAACTTGCTAATAGTGTAGTATTTTATTAATGGTTGGTTGCCAAGCAGAAGTAGATGCAAAATTCAAAGCACTCACAGTGTGGTCAATCAGCATTAAAGATGGCCGCCAGCCTAACACATGGCCTGTGTGGCGTGAAGTCACAACCCTGGCTTATCTGACAGCAGATGAGTCATGGTTGTTAAGGAAACATCAGCCACCTGCTCCTTAACAACCAGATATTCCGAATGAAATTAAATGCATGCTAAAGTACAAAAGGAATTCCAAAAACGAATTGGTTCAATTAAAGAAAGCAGCCAAAACAATATTCTTCAATTAACAAATGCATCCAAACCAAAATGAAAATTTGCAGCGCTCACATACCTAGTTTTAAAAAGAAAACCCACTAATTCTAATAAAACAAGCAAAAGCATGGAGGGGCAATTATTAACAGTTCCTTCTTTCCCATAACTACTATTACCAACAGGATACATTCCCTACATAATTGCTCCATCCTTCAACCAGCAACCAAATTTCAACAATGTGAATAAAATATTGGAGCGGAGAGTTCAGCCTTCCATCCATTGGGTGTTAACTGCAGTTTCAAAGTGTTCCCCCACTCTGCCATCACAACAATGTTCACTTTGATCCTTGGGGCACCTGACACCACGGGTGACGTATATGCAGCACTATGCATAAGAGCCTGATGCAGTGCACCATTCCTGCCAGTGTTCCACCCATACATGCCTCCTATCTCACACCTACAGGTGTAGAAACTGGCTGGAAATGGCGCTCCATTGGGCAGTCCCAAATACAGAGGCACTTGGTAGAGGTGAGAGTGACCACCATAGTCCTTATTAGTGTAGCACCATATCCTAGTTAGCTAGGGAGAGCTCTAGTTCAATTGATAGCTAGGAGAGCTGAGTAGCAGCCTGGGTGTGATAGTTAGCAGGGTCAACTTTGGGTTAGAGGCTTGGCAGAACAGCACTCTGGAATTTCCCTCTGTTCTAGGTAAATTTGAGGAGTGGCTGGTTTGTACTCTTAGAGGACCCTGGCCAACCCCCAACAGGAGGCTTGCCAAGGGGCCAGGACAGCCTTTAACTGAGCCTGCTCAGCTGGAGCAGAATTGTTGGAGGAGAGTGAGAAGAGAGGATGTGAGGCTGGAAGCAGGAGCCTATGAGGGGGCCCAGATGGAAAGGGGCACACCTACAGGCAGAGGACTTTGGAAGGAGGAAAGCTCAGGACTTTACCAGCCCCCTGAAAAAGGACTACCTGTGAGGCAGGGAAGGAGCGGCCCAGCTAAAAGGACTCGTAGCAACAACTGACCTACCCTCAGTACACAAGAAGGACTGAGTGAGTAGATTGCACCCCTTGGGCCAGATAGGGGAAGGAGCACTCTGGTGGGAAATCAGATCGGACTGTTTTATTTTAAGTTACAGCCACTTGATTCCTTGATCAGGGATTCCTCCAGGCAACCAGATAGAGGAACATCTGGGGTTTGGGGTGGTACTACAGGAGATGCTGGCTAGTTCTCCACAAAGGGTTTTTTTGTGTGAAGACTTGTACATAGTTCACAAAGTTGTCCTCGGTTTTTCAGTTCCATTGGGCATCTTCTACACCCCTTACCCCATCAAAGTTCTAAAATACCCTAATAAAACACCAAATACAAGCTCAGTGACTGGTTACTGACTCCTGGATGCAAGTTTGTGAAGATGCATGTTGCCTGGCTGTGCAGGACTATAGGGGGGACCCAAAACCTCAGCAACTCCTAAGGGGTAGTGCTACATTATCCAAAACCTGAAAAGGAAAGGTGGATTAAGTCTTTAATTTGATTTTGTTGTTGTTATCCCTGTTATTTAAACATTGTAAAATTACTTAATTGGTCATCAGTGGAGCAAATTACAAAGGCAAATGGGTGATATACCTGTATAGACAGCCCCTACCCTAAGTTTACATTACTTACTTTCTCCTTCACTAGTAAGGTTGAGTTTGTACAAGGTTAAGCTGAATTATAGACTGAATTGTAAACTCAACTACTACACTAAACTCCATTGTACATATCTGTCGAACTTCTGAATTGTGATGAGTTTGTAAGCTGATTACTAACAAAAAAGAAACTGCAGTGGATCTATTGAATTACATCAGATAGGTCATAATGTGACCTTTATATCAGAAAGAGAAGGAGGGAAGTTGATAAAATGGCTCGTTCTTATAGTCTCCAATTTCCTTTTAATGATAAGTGTTAAAACGGGAAGTCACCAGAAGGGAAACATTTGGCCTCCATTATGAGGATCTGGGTGCTAACTCTGCTCTGCCTGAAAACGTCTCTCAGCAGCCCCAAGGAGTCATGCTCAGGTATAGTTTATATTATATGACTTTATTAGATGTTACATAATTATATTATTCACTTGTAGACTTCCCTTATTCATATCACAGACAATACCCCCGTCTTTTACAGCTGATGGTCCATAGTGTTTCACAGTAGTCATGTTCTGTATCCTTCATTTGTTGTATGCATTTATATCTACTGAACATTAATATTAGGAGAAGGTAATTCTGTTCATTATAAGAGACCTGTGTATGTTTTCCTCATAGACGTAAAGGTTTTGGGGCTTGGAGACTCTGACAGGGTGACCATCATCAGAGGCTGTCCTGGGCTCCCTGGTTCTCAGGGTCAGAAAGGTGAAACTGGGGAAAAAGGGGCAAAAGGTGAGTTGGCATATACATAGAAGGGAACACCTGTGCTACAAGTCATATGAAATGTTACAATGCAAAATAATTATTGATGATTGATAAGGAAATAGAAAGAATTCAATGTGCCCCTAAAATCTGACATAACAGGCCTTTCTGCCATTTTCTATGCCAATCTGAACAAATAGAAGCTTGAATGGGATTACTTGCTAAGGGCAACTGCTCCAGTTATTATGTATTTTTGTTAAATACATTTTCTGTATCTGCCCCCCCATTGTTGACCAGCACACTGACTAGACCAGTCTTTCTCAACTGGTGTGCTGTGACACTCTGGGATGCTGTATGGCTTTGTTTGGAGTGCTGTCAGATGCAACCATGATGCACTCTGTCATTCCTTGCTATATTGATGGGAGCCATCCCGCCTGCATCATGGGAACACATGATGGGGATCCAGGGTGGGCAGCATCAGGGCCCCCTAACATTCAAAAGAGGACAGAAGTCTGCCTTCATCCAGACCTGCTCCACATCTGTCTGGAATTGCTATGCCTCCCACCCTCCACCATGCTGCTGCAAGGATGCTGTGCTGAAACTCTGAAAGGTAGGAATCTCATATGAAGTGGGTATTCCGATGTGAAAGTAGGGGTTGAGGACTATGATGTGAAGGGTGGTCCTGGTATAAAGGGGGAATTCTGAGGTGAGAGTCCCTCCTCCTTGACTTTGTTTCTTATCTGTAGAATAGTGGCCCCCTAGATAAAGTAGCCTTCAAAATTGAGTAACCCACATTACCAAGACCTTTGTTCTGCACAGACATAGATAATTATGGATTACTGATAATGAAAGCTATGGGAACTTGTTTGGCAAGGAGAAAAGAGGGAAAGGGGCTCCTTCTAAGTGCAGAATTGAAATACAATTTATTAGACTACATTTAAAACCACTCACAAGATAAAAAGGTATGAACGCCCATCAATCTTGATGTAAAGAGAAGCCAAGAGGTACCACCAAAATCCACAACCTGTAGGGTCTGCCAGTTTGTAGGTTAACTATATTCCCCAAAGTGCTTTCTTAGGGTTAGAGTTAGGGGAACAAAGACGTCTCATTGAAGAATGAGATGACCAACAGAGTGTCCCCAAACACTTTCTTGAGCAGCATCATAAATCTACTTCAGCTCTGTTCATTTGGCTCATAGGCTCTCTCTCTCCTCACAGCAGAATGTTTTAAACGTTTATGCCAATGGGAGACTTTTTGGATCTATACCTTGGGGACCCTGACCCCGGGAGGCCTTAACGAGGTGTTGGAGTTACATACGTAATTAGAAACATCCTCATTTTTATCCTAATTAGCCTCATCTTTATTCAGTTTCCTCATAAATCAGCCCCCTGCATAACAGAATAATATATTCATCATAAAGAAGATATAATAATTATCATAATAGTCATCTATCTAATATTGTCTTGTTTTTGTTATCCTAAGGATTCTTGTAATTTGTAGCCTTATCCTAATCACTAAAATCAATTTATACTTACAGGGGACCCTTAAGGTCTTCCTACGTTTTGAAATAAGGACCCTAGCAGTCCATGGGGGAGATTCTAGGATTCTCCAGTAAGCTCAACTTTTATTTATTTATTTTTTATTATTTACCTATACACAATTATTATGGATCCACAATGGGTATATTCCCTGTTGTAGTAAATATATGCACACGCTGATGCTTGTATACACATATATGTGTGGCTATATGCAGGCATATATTTATTAATGTCTTTCTTATAGTATATTTGAATAGCCAATTGATATATACAGTGCTCAGCATAAATGAGTACGCCCCTTTTGAAAAGTAAGATTTTGATCAATGTCTCAATGAGTACAAGAACAATTTCCAAAATTTTGACACAACTGAGTTCTATAGAACATTTGTTTAGCTGATTACATTAAAGTAAGGTTAATAATATAACTTAGATTACAAAATCTTCAGCTTTTCTCAAATTAGTTGATGCAAAAAATGAATACACCCCACAACAAAAACTGGGATGGCTGTTATTTGCGCAATATAGGACTTGTATGGACTGATTACATATTATTTATGGACTCTTGACATATACCATAATTTACTAGGAGGATCATAAGCAGGGGCGGAATGACAACTCATGGGGCCCCAGTGCAATAGGGGATCATGGGGCCCCTGTGTCCTTGCCCAAACTCAAAAAAGCCTATGAAAAAGGTACCATGGGCATCTCATGGGGCCCCCTACTGACCCCGGGCCCTCGGGCGGTGCCCGAGTTTCCAAATGGTCAGTCTGCCCCTGATCATAAGTCTTTTTTGTGTGCTGATCAAATATGTTTTCTATGGGAACTTGTTTGACTTACCATATCCATATATGGTAGATCTGTTGATTAAGTATGCATTAACTATGTACACTGTGCAATGTATAGCCTAGGTTCATACTACTGCTGCATAATAATAATGCGTGTTTCAGTGTGGTGTTGTAGCACACTTTTTACACGCATTCTTGATGCATTTTCATGCTTCTTGGGTTTTTTTTTTTAGGAGAAGGACACTGGATGTTAAACACAAAACCCTGCAAAAACATACCAAAATCAATTTTACATGCATTTTTCATGTGCTTTTCATGCATTCCCATTGAACTCTATAGGGCCGAAAACACAATATAGTGCACCAAAAGAAGCACCCAGGGGTGGAATGACCATTTGGAAACTCGGGCACTGCCTGAGGGCCCGGGGTCAGTAGGGAGCCCTAGGAGATGCCCCTGGTACCTTTTTCATAGGCTTTTTTAAGTTTGGGCAAGGACATAGGGGCCCCATGATCCCCTATTGCCCATGGGCCCCATGAGTTGTCAGTCCACCCCTGGATGTGATTTTAATTGCCGTGCATTGCAGAAACAGGTGAAGTCACACTAGTGTGAACAGGACTTTAAAGTGGTTGTAAACCTCAAACATGAAATATGAACAAAGCATATCTCTCTATAGTGTGCACTTGTCTCAGTTAGGAGCACTAAGTGTAATTTCTGTCTGCTGCTTTGTTCCTCTGCTGTCAGCATGAATCACTTCTGATAAGTTTTCTGACACCAAGAGAAAAATGGTGACGGGGAGGGACCTCCAGCAGATTGACAGCCTCAGCTCTGTTCCTGTGAGCTGTGTGGAGAGGGGGTATCTCTTCCCTCCAATCAGCTCTCAGAGCTCTTCTCACTGCAGAATGTAATTTGAGCTCTCTGCCCACGGTTTCCTGAACTCTCAGTCAAGCTTTATAAATGGTGCACTTTGAACAGATGTAAAGAAGAGAAGATTGCAGATAAACAGGTACAACTTATGTAGGAGGATGTGTTTAATCTCTGTGTATCACCTGAGGCCAGTCCCCTCAATGCATATATGTAAGGGTTTATAACTACTTTAACTTTGTATTTCAACATCTGTAGGGGAATCTGGACGCATGGGTATCCCAGGAAAAACTGGACCTTCAGGGATTAAAGGTTAGTAACTCTATAACTAGACAATAATAGCTATGTTATTTATAATTTTTAAATTATATAGCAATAATGATCTAATTAATAAAATGCACACCACACACAGTGTATAAAAGTGTATTCGTTAAATTAATTCACTCATTCATTACCAGGGCAGGCAGGATCTGAAGGTGGCATTGGAAAGACCGGTCTGCAGGTCAAAAAGGTCAGTAATCATTGCATAGTTCAAACTTAAGGCCTTGTTCACACCATTCATGCAGAAAACCTGATGGAAACTGATGTACAGATTTCACTTGCAGAGACATCAGTTTACATCAGTTTTTCAATGAGTTTTGTACACATTGCAGACTCCTGCGCAGAAAAAATCTGTACGTGATACTAGTGTTGTGGTGTGAACAGGGCACATAGAGAACAATTGATTTTGTTGTGCCCTTGCAGAACGCGTGCAGAAAAACTGACATCTCTGCACCATGGTATCAACAAGCCCAAAGGGGGTGTAATGACACTAGGATGCGGTGTGTGGAACATGCCTATGCCTAATTGGTAATCCTTTACAAAGTGTTGTTTTGGAATATATGTTTTACATCAGTCCAGGAGTAATATAAAAGAAACATAATTCCCGTTTCATCACCCCTTTAATCATTTTTCCCTTTAACCACATTAAATCTAAGATTTAATTTCAACCATTTTTATTATTTTGCACAATAAAAGTTTTACAGATATTTGTTCAGTTCAGTAATTGAGAAAAACACACTGGTGGCCAGTGGATCATAAAATATGAACAGAAATTGCTAAATGTACTAGGATTCAACATTTTGTGCTGTAAAACGTGATAGGGCTCCAGACATGGATGGTGCCTCCTGTTCCATGAGCAACCAAGGTATTGTAGTGACAAGTCCTTCCTGTCTTTTGCCACTTTGTCTGTCCAAGGCCCCGACCCAGATTAACCATTTTTCAATGTCCACTAACTATTGTTCTTTGATGGATCAAAACTTTAGGAACAGAACCAATAGTCCCTAATACAGGGGTCTTGGTTATGAAGAATGTGGGAAGCAAAAAAAAAAAAGAAAAGAGATGAAAAGAAGTTGCTCCCTTCAGCCAGGGTCCTGGCCTACTTCCGCTGTCCTACCTACAGTATATGAGAAATTGTATATATCACATCCAGGGATTACAAATATTTTCAAATCTGGCTTGCTGTCTTCTCATGTAGCAAAAAAATTTATTTTTGGTTGTTGGTATATTTACTATAGATGATTTCCATGCTTTGGCAATGAACATTTATGCTAGAAAATTATAAAAAATGAGGGTCTGAGTGTGTCTAGGGATTTCTGCAATTGGTTTGTTTAGGGGAGTACACTCTCGATTGTGAGATAATAAGAGAGTTATGTTAGGGAGTTGGAAGAGTTCAGGCAGGAGTTCAGGAGGCAACAGAACAGGAGTGGGACTCTGAAGCTGGCCCCCATGGGACTTGGTGTGGCCTATTCTACAGATATGTAGTGCTTCCAATTGCTGGTATTCCCTGGCTAGGGAATACCTGGAGAGGCCCTGGTGCCCTGGACAGGATGGAGTTGGGGAAGAGGCCATAGATGGCCTGACCTGGGAAACTGCCAACAACTGCTACCATATTGGTAAGAAACTGTATGCTCCGAAGTAGTATGCTATGAAGTTATAAGCCCTGAAGTTTTATGCCAAGAAGATGCCTACCTTGAACTGGAAAGAATAATGGCAAGGTGTACTGGGGTGTGCTAGAGGGTCCATTTGTGCTGGTAGCTGGATGATCTATTGTTGCTGGGAAGATCTATTGTTGAGGGAGGGGTCTATTATTGCTGGGAGGGTCTTTGGTTGCTGGGTGGCCAATTGTTGCTGAGAGGGATCTACTGTTGAACGAGAAGTCTATTTTTGCCAGTTGCTGGAGGGTCTATTATTGCTGGCTGCTGGGAGATCTGCTGTTGATGGTGGGGGTCTATTGTTCCTGGGGTGCATTTATTGTGTTTGGGGGGGATCTATTGTTGCAGGGGGAGATATTATTGCTGGCTGCAGGGGATCTATTTTACTGCTTTTACTTGTTATCATTGTCTAAAATAGGCAGTACTGTGGAGGTGGATAGGTGGTAGAACCATGGAACAGTTCTCAGAGGTGGCTAGAGGGTAGAGAAAAGGGGTGACTTACAAGGAGGTTGTACCGGCACCTATTCTGCTTTCTTTACAGTTTTATCCTCTGTGTTTATCTTGAGGTGACTGAAGAGTCCATCTTCATGTGGTGTCATCAAATTAATCTTTATCTAATATGCTTATTCTGTACACCAAATAACAGTACATCTTATCTTCCTTCTTTGTGATAGGTGCCAAAGGTGAGAAAGGGGTACAAGGAAACAAAGGTGAGTGTCAGGCTCCTGGCCAAAATTCCTCATACAGGTGGATCTGTTGAGGTCTATATGGGGTCTTCATTAAAAAAAGTAAGGGAACCGTGCACTAACAATGGTGCTGCCCAACTTCACCTGCCATGTCAGACAATTCATTTTTATAGTGAGCAGTCTTTTAACTCTTGTTTTGTTCAAATGTGAGCAGGCTGGGAGAAAGGAGGGTGGATCATGAGGGTAGAGAAGAATCTCTTGCTGTAACAATAGCACAACAAAAGGCATTGGTGTTGATTTACTAAAGGCAATTAGACTGTGCACTCTGCAAGAGTAGTTGTTTCAGAGCTTAGTAAATGAGCAAAAGCTCTGCTGACTTTCATCATCCAATCATGTGCAAGAAATGCTGTTTTTTCATTTTCCTTGCAAGTGATTGGGTATTCTTGGCAAAGGGAAGCTTTACCTCATTTATGAAGCTCTGGAGCAACTGTACTTGCAGAGTGCAATTGCACTTTGCAAAGTGCACAGTCTATTAGTTCCTAAATATATTTTATTAGTAATCTCCTATGCTGTATCTGACATCAGCTGATGTAGTTTCTGGCACCATAGCCAGGCAATTTGTCTTCAGATGGTGCTGAAAACAATATTTGACAACATTTTTACTAGTTTTACATAGAGAAGTGTAGGCTCTTTTAGGTCTTAAATTTTCCATGGAAAGGTCATATTATTGACTATGAATACGCCATTTCATATACAGTACTTGGGGGTGTACGGTTCAGGCAGTCTAAAGGCTCCATAAAGCACTGCACTGTGCTAACCATACATTGGAAGTAACATGTATCCCATACTATATATTCAGTTACAGTATTGTAGAACTGGACCTCGAGTGATATCAAAAGAAGAATTTTAGTAAAAGTGGCCACACAGTGCTAATTTCACATGTCATTGGGCTGATGATGGCTCTCATGTCTCGTTGAATCGGGACATATCTGCCCCCATGGGTCTTTTGTCATAGCTAGTTTTACAATACTTACATTACTCACAAATAAGATGCCCATGGCAAATCTGCGTTAGTTGTCATTGGATGGTGATTACATTTACAATAATGCTCTATTTTTTAATTTTGCTCCCTGTATTCATTACATTGGTTTTGTATATAGGTGAAGAAGGAGATTCAAAATATCTAGCCCCATATGGTGAGTAAACCCAATACCTCTACGTTCTAGCAATCATATGTAGCTATGTGGGTATCCTCAGGGCCTGCCAGAGAAAAGGATTGGGCATAAATTCAAAAAGCATTAAACCAGTCTGACGAAGTGTAAGAGTTGCTGCCATCACAGCTGGATCTTCAAAAGTATAGTGGACCCCCCCATTGCTGGACATTTATCACTTCGTTCAACATTACGCAAGGACTGGAGAGGGTTCCTGACCCACCTGTTGCTGCCATTCAGGTTTCTTAAGTTCCAGGACATTCTTCAGCATAGGCCCCTACTAGTAATAAATGTGCCATTGTCCCTTGCTGCTGCAACTGCCATCTTTCAGTCACCAGCACGATCGCTGCCTGCAGGATACTAAACTAAGTTAACCATTTGACTCCCTGCTAGGCAGAACATTGTAGCTGCATCCATCTATGTTCAAGCCATCTATCTGAGGAGGATATTTTGCCGCTTAAGTTTAATTTCATCCTGTAAAGGAAAACATACCTGCTAGTTCTTCCCCCTTTTTTCTTAAAGTGACCATTACCCATAAATCTACTGTTAAAGAGACTCTTTTTTACAATTTCATCTCTTAAAGTGACCATTACCCCACAATTCAACCGCTAAAAAAACTATATTCTACAATTCAATATGTTAAAGTGACACCCCCCCCCCCCCCATTTCACCTATATTAAGGAGAACTGCGCTAACAACTTTGCCTCTTAAAGGGGATCATCTTACTTTTCATATCTTTCATATCTTAAAGGGACTGCACTTTTCACCACACGCCAACATACAGACCCCAACTAAGCCGGCAGAAGCATCAATCGTTTAGTTTGATTGTGCTCAGAGACTATCTTTCTTAGAAGTACTGGTGTGCAGGGGGTTGACCAGATTTCTTAGAACCTAAACCTAGACTCTCCTGACTGAGGGCCTACAAATGAGCTAGTATGTTACTCATACTTGTCTCACTTGGGAGTAATCTCCAAGTTGTAAAACTATAGTTTATATCCTCAGTCCTGCGGGACAAGTGGCCACATTTTAAAGGGTATTCATAATGTATTGCCTAGTTTCTGTGCTGAATCACCTCTTTTATTGTGAACCTTTGTTAACAGTTAAATTGCCTACATTCCTTTCAATTGGTCTTAATCACAACTTAATCATTAATTGTACAATAGTTTGTGCATATTTTCCTTGAGTGGCAGCCAGGAGACTCCCTGGCCAAGGTACTTTGGTCGTGTCACCAGGGGTGTGGTTTTTGTCTTTGGCCGAGTGAGGAACAAGGGACTCAAATATACCAGCGACTCCTGTAGGGGTAGAGCTACATATCATTTTGATCAATGTACTGGGAGATTCCAGCTCCCATGTTTTAATAAAAATAAGAAAGTTAGCTAAAAAGGAGAAAGGGTGTTATTGCTGCCTTTTTTTGGTGTTTGCAACATTGTAAAAATATAGTAAAAAATATGTAATATATGGCAAGACATAAAGAAATTTAAAAAAATACAGATATATGTACTGGTATGAATTTTTTCTTTCAGAAGCCAGAAACTGTAAGGAGTTGCTTCAGAAGGGATATATCCATAGTGACTGGTACCTGATCTATCCAAATGGCAAGAAGTCTCTAAAAGTCTTGTGTGACATGGACACTGACGGAGGAGGCTGGATTGTGAGTGTTGTGTAAATTATCCTATCTCTTGTATACGTCAGTAGTAAATATGTGGCAGAAAACACCTTGCATGGTAACACCAACTAATATATAATAGACTCTATTACATTAGGACAAATTATAGCCAGTCATTTAGGAGTGGCAGGCTCTTCATTAGGCCTAACCTATTTATGGGTGTGGTGTCTCATTCAGGAACATGGCTTCTTTATTGATCTCACAATTATTTCCTTATCTCATGATATAAACTCCAGGAAACATTATACCTCTTCTTAATCTAGGTCTTCCAGAGACGTTGGGATGGATCTGTAAATTTCCACCGTGACTGGAAATCCTATAAGACTGGGTTTGGCAGCCGTTTAAATGAGTTCTGGTTGGGAAATGATAATCTTCACTGGCTTACATCATCAGGTAATATGCTCAATATATATACTGTGTGTGTGTGTATATATATATATATATATATATATATATATATACAGTGGGTAAAATAAGTATTGAACACGTTACCATTTTTCTAGGTAAATATATTTTAAAAGTGCTTTTAACTTGAAATGTTCACCACGTCAGTAACAACCCATACAATCCATACATACAAAGAGTCCAAAACAAATAGGTTCAGAAATTAAGTTATGTGCAATAAAATGTAATGACACAGTGCAAATTAATATCAGCTGGTTTGGTCTCAACTGGTGGCCTATAAAAAGGTGTCTCATTACCAAGGTGTCACACAAGAAACCTATTCTCATAACGGGTAAAAGTAAAGAGCTCTCTCAAGACCTTTGCAACCTTATCATTGCAAAACATACTGATAGCATTGGATACAGAAGGATTTCTAAACTTCTGAATGTTCCAATGAGCACTGTTGGGGCCATAATCTGGAAGTGGAAAGTACATAATTTCACCATAAACCAGGTACGACCAGGTGCTCCTCGCAAGATTTCTGACAGAGGAGTGAAAAGAATTATCAGAAGAGTTGTCCAAGAGCTAAGGACCACTTGTGGAGAGCTTCAAAAAGACTTAGAATTAGCAGATAAAATGTTTTTAAAGAGAACATAGTAAAAATGAATAATGCACTCAACCTCCATGGAATGTATGCACGCTCACCACGCAAGGCTCCATAGCCAAAGAAAAAGCATGCTAAAGCTCGTTTAAAGTTTGCTTTACAGCATTTAGACAAGCCTGTGAAATACTAGGAGAATAGAGTCTGGTCTGAGGAGGCTAAAATTTTTCTCTTTGGATGTCATAATACACACCATGCTTGGAGGACAAACTGCACTGCACATCACACCAAAAAAACACCATTCTAACAGTGAAGCTTGGAGGTGTGAAAATCATGATGTGGGGCTGTTTTTCAGCATAAGGTACTGGCAAATTTCATATCATTGAAGGAAGGATGAATGGAAAAATGTATCAAGACATTCTTAATAAAAAATCTGCTGCCATCTACCAGCATGATGAAGATGAAACGAGGATGGACATTTCTGCAAGACAATGATCCCAAACAAAAAAAGCCTAGGAAACTCTCAATTGGTTTCAAAGAAAGAAAATAAACCTGCTAGAATGGCTCAGCCAGTCACCTCACTTGAATCCAATAGAAAATCTATGGAAAGAACTAAAGATCAGAGTTCATAGAAGAGGCTCACCAAACATTCAAGATTTCAACACTGTTTGTGTGGAAGAATGGGCCAAAACCACACCTGAACAATGCATGCCACTAGATTCTCCATACAGGAGGCATCTTGAAGCTTTCATTACCAAGAAAGGATTTTGTAAGAAGTATTAAATACATTTCAGTTAGTGTGTTCAATAATTTTCCCTGTGTCATTCCATTTTATTACACATAACTTCATTGTTGAACTTATTTGTTTTGTTTTTTTTTTTGTATGTATGTATGGGTTGCATGGGTTGCTACCAGCATGTGGGGAAAATTTCATGTCAATAGCACCTTTAGAAAAATATTTACTGAGAAGAATGGTGATGTGTTCAATACCACGACGTGTTAAATACACATTATACTGTATATATACTGTATATCCCTGGCAACAGCAATACATGTGACAACACAGGATATACTTATAAGAATTATGTTTATTTGATATATGAAAATGTCTGGTCTTCCTGGCAGGCACCTGGGAGCTGCGCATTGATTTACAGGACTTCATTCACAAAAAGAATTTTGTCAAATACTCCTCATTCAAAGTCTTGTCTGAATCGCAGAAATACAAATTGGTGCTGGGACCCTTCACACAAGGAAACACAAGTGAGACAGGATGCTATATGTCATAATCTGCAACTCTGCATTTATACTAACATAAGTAGCTCATACACTATATTGCCAAAAGTATTGAGACACCCCTCCAAATCATTGGATTCAGGTGTTCCAATCCCCTCCATGGCCACAGGTGTATAAAATCAAGCCCCTAGGCATGCAGACTGCTTCTACAAACATTTGTGAAAGAATGGGTCGCTCTCAGGAGCTCAGTGAATTCAAGCGTGGTCCCGTGATAGGTTGCCACCTGTGCAATAAGTCTATCTGTGAAATTTCCTTGATACTAAATATTCCACAGTCAGCTGTTAGTGGTATTGCAACAAAGTGGAAGCAACTGGGAACAGCAGCAACTCAGCCACCAAGTGGTAGGCCACATAAAATGACAGAGCGGGGTCAGCACATGCTGAAGCACACAGTGCGCTGAAGTCGCCAACTGTCTGCAGAGCCAATAGCTAAAGACCTCCAAACTTTGTGTGGCCTTCAGATTAGCACAACAACAGTACATAGAGAGCTTCATGGAATGGGTTTCCATGGCCGAGCAGCTGCATCCGAGCCTTACATCCCCAAGTGCAATGCAAACCGTCAGATGCAGTGGCGTAAAGCACGCCGCCACTGGACTCTAGAGCAGTGGAGACGTGTTCTCTGGAGTGACGAATCACGCATCTCTGGTAATCCGATAGATGATAGGATGGCACATCCTTTAATAAAGTCGCAATGAAGAAACATGTCAGCAAGTGACCTCAAACGTTAACTGCAAGTTCAGTGGTGGCCATCTTGAAAAAGGTCTCGGACCAGGTGTTGTATGCTGGCTTATTTTTACATATTGTAAGCACTTTTTAACTAATAAATAGTTTGGATTTTATTCTGCTACACTATGATCTGCTTTTGTTTGGTTCCATATGGATAACTTCTTAGTGGAGACCAGCAATAAAGGAATAAACACAGGAACGGAAGTGGTAGCTCTTGAGATCATTATGCTCTAGAGCAGCAATGGGCAAACTACGGCCCGCAGGCCGTATACGGCCCGGCAGACCTTTTAATCCGGCCCGTGGAGCGTGATACTGTCAGGATGGCTGTCAGGAGACCTGTGTAGCATGAAAATCTGTCTCCTATGAGGATCTGTCCCCCTCGACGTATCTGCGCATGTGCCGGAGATCGCGATCGGCTGCTAATGCCTGAAACTGGCACATGCGCAGATACGTCGAGGGGGACAGATCCTCATAGGAGACAGATTTTCATGCTACACCGGAACGGCGCGGGAACACGGCGAGAGGAACGCGCGGAGCAAAGGTAAGTGAATTGAAACAGGGGGGACTTGGGGACTTAATATGGGGGATGAATTAATATGGGGAATGAATTACTATAGGGGGGATGAATTACTATATGGGGGATGAATTACTATATGGGGGATGAATTACTATGGGGGATGAATTACTATGGGGGATGAATTACTATATGGGGGATGAATTACTATGGGGGATGAATAACTATGGGGGATGAATTGCTATATGGGGGATGAATTACTATATGGGGGATGAATTCCTATATGGGGGATGAATTCCTATATGGGGGATGAATTACTATATGGGGGATTAATTACTATGGGGGATGAATTACTATGGGGGATGAATTACTATATGGGGGATTAATTACTATGCTTACTATGGGGGAATATTACTATACTTACTATGGATGACACATACACATCATTCATCTACTCTTGGTCCGGCCCCCGGGTCCAATATATGAACCCATTGCGGCCCTCGAGTCAAAAAGTTTGCCCACCCCTGATCTAGAGTATAGAAGAGTTTGGTAAGGGGCATGATTTATAAGGTGGTGGAACACCATTGGTGGATGAAGCACTGGTTTGGGGCAATCACAAAGGTTGAAAGAGTGTGAGTACAATAAAACTATCAGTGTTTCATTGTAATTAGCATTACCACACTATATGAGTATCTGTTTTTTTGGAAGAGTAGTTTTAAGAAGTAAAGAAAAAAGAAGAGGGACGCAAGGTCAATTTATGTAGAAGCAAGACAATTTGGACTGAAGGGTAAGTGTAAGGATGACAGATATTGGAGTGTTATCAAGTGGTGGATAAGTTGGCACAATATTTGCACTGTTTATGTGAGTTTAATACATCATTGGAATTGTGATTTAAGGAGATAATGCACCATATGTGGTTTTTGCATGTATTTTTACATGGGGAGAGAGAATTATCTTAGAAGAAGAGGAAGAAGGGTTCACATGTTTACAGATTCACGTATAAATTGAAGAACTCAATCAGCTTTATTATGTGGTGAGAATATATGGAGAATTGAAGAGAATCTTTCAGCAGAAGCAATCTCATATGACTATGAAAGGGGACTAATAATTTTATGTTGGTCTTGCGCTCTGGACTCTGATATATATAATCCGATAGACGTGTCTGCATTTGGCAGTTGCCAGGAAAACGTTACTTGCCTGACTGCATTGTGCCAAGTATACAGTTTGGTGGAGGGGGGATTATGGTGTGGGGTTGTTTTTCAGGGGTTGGGCTTGGCCCCTTAGTTCCAGTGAAGGGAACTTTTAAGGCATCAGCATACCAGGACATTTTGGACAATTTCATGCTCCCAACTTTGTTGGAACAGTTTGGGGATGGCCCCTTCCTGTTCCAACATGACTGCGCACCAGTGCACAAAGCAAGGTCCATAAAGACATGGATGAGAGAGTTTGGGGTGTAGGAACATTACTGGCCTGCACAACCCAATAGAACACCTTTGGGATGAATTAGAGCGGAGACTGCGAGCCAGGCCTTCTCATCCGACATCAGTGATTGACTTCACAAATGCCTTTCTGGAGGAATGGTCAAACCTTCCCATAGACATATTACTAAACCTTGTAGACAGCCTTTCCAGAAGATTTGAAGCTGTTATATCTGCAAAGGGTGGGCCAACTCAATATTGAACCCTATGGACTAAGACTGGGATGCCATTAAAGTTCATGTTCATGTAAAGGCATGCGTCCCAATACTTTTGGCAATATAGTGTATATACTGTATATATGTAATGGAAATAGAAGTGGCATAGGGTTTCCATGTATGCAGAGTTCGGGACTCCAGAATGTTAATTTTATGCGAAGAAAGGTTGTTTCTCAACTTTCTCTAGGTAATTGGTATTCCTGGATTCTGTTCCGGAGTTTGGAAACTTCAAAGAGTTTTGGGAGGAATAGGTCTCCAATCTAGTGTCCAGATCTTGTAGAAGACCAGCAGGCTGAGTGTGCAGCTGTGCATACCCATTATAACCACTTGACCTCTGGAACATATACCCACCTTCATGACCAGACCATTATTTGCTATACGGCGCTGCGCTACTTCAACTGACAATTGCACGGTCATGCAACATTGTACACAAATGAGATTTATATCTTTTTTTTCACACAAATAGAGCTTTATTTTGGTGGTATTTTATCAACGCTGGGTTTTTTTTTTTATTTTTTTGTGCTATAAACCAAAAAAAAACAAAAAAAAAACGATATTTTTTACTTTTTACTATAAAATATATCCCAGAAAAAAATTAAAATAAAAAATGTCTTTATAAATTTAGTTTAAATTGTATTCTGCCACATGTCTTTGGTAAACAAAATCCTAATAAGTGTATATTACTTGGTTTGTGCAAAAATGATAGGGTCTACAAATGACCATATATATCTTGGAATCTTTTTTTTTTTTTACTAGTAATACTAGCAATAGTTTGTACTAGTAATGGTGGTGATCAATGACTTATAGTGGGACGGTGATGGTATGGCAGGCATTCTGACACTAGCTAACTGACACTGACATGACCATTGACACTAATACAGTGATCAGTGCTGGTAAATGCACTGACACTGTACTAATGACACTGGTCAGGAAGGGGTTAACATCTGAGGCAATCAAAGGGTTAACTGTGTGTCTAACTATATGTAATATGTGTACTGTGTACTGTTTTACTAGGGGACGTGCCAGTTTTTGTCTCCCTGCCAAAACATGGTACATCCCTGCTGTCAGAGGAGAGATCTGTGTTGTTTACCAACACAGATCTCTCTCCTGTGACTAGCTCCGATGATTGACGGGTCCCGGTCGTGAATCATTGGGCGGGATTTGCTGATCAACATGTCAGTTAGCCAATAACAGTGTGGGTAGGTGGATGAGTGCACATTCACTACCCGGAAAAACAAAATCACATACAGTATGACTTTGCACAGCCAGCCTGCACTGTAGCAGTAAAGCAAGAGGTTGTGACAGACTTGTGCATAGCTCAGCACTCTCATTAGAGAGACAGGTGTGTCCACTCAAGGGATAGTACTCCATGCTGGAGAGGAGAGATCCCATGCCCATAGGGCTGAGAGAGTCAAAGCTGCTAACCGAGACTAAGGTGCAGAGAGAAATTGAAGGTCTCATAGGGTTGAGAGAGCCTGGGGTGTCAGGAGATTCCATGTAATGTGTTTTTCTACTTTGTGCACTCTTCCCAGGAGATTCCATGTCGTATCACAACAATGCATTTTTCTCAACCTATGATGAAGACAATGATACAAGCAGTAAGACCAACTGCGCTAAGTCGTCCACTGGAGGCTGGTGGTTTGTCTTCTGCTACTACGCGAGTATGAATGGGGAGTATAAACTGCAGACACAGAACAGCAGCTCCACTGACATCGCCTGGAAAACTGACCAAGGATGGAAAAGCTTCTACAAATATACAGAGATGAAAATAAGATCCCTTTTTAAGTGAGAACACATTATATCAGCCTTTCTGAACCAGGGTGCCCAGGCACCCTGGGGTACCTTGAGGTTTCTTCAGGGGTGCCTTGGCAAAATGTCTAAAAATTTCCCAAAACTTGTATACAAGCCAGCGGGTGGAACAAGCCTGCCCTTTAGTTACACAAAGCCACAGGTTTTCATAGTGCACCATTGCAACCTTCCAGCAGAGGGGTGTCTCCAGCTGTTGCGAAACTACAAGTCCCATCATGCCTCTACTTCTGGGAGTCATGCTTGTAACTTTCAATCTTGCAATGCCTCTGGGGACTTGTAGTTTGGCAACAGCTGGAGGGCTGCCAGTTTGACACCTGTGTTCTAGCCTGACAGCCAATGACATCATCAGTTGATAAGGAGGATGTCAGCTGCCTGCACAGCTTCCTTGTTTGATCCTCCCCTGCCCCTCTCCATCAGTGCTGGGGTCACATTAGCTCAGTGATGGATACAAACTGAGGGAGAAAGGAACATTGGGATACTAGTCAGTACCAGTGTGCAGAAGTGTATTTGCTTTGGAAGAATTCACCTCTAATGTTGGGGGTTCTACATGTGTGGATATTGCTGCATTATATAAAACTATTAGAATAGTTTTTCACATTTTAGAATGGGGTGCCCATTTAAAATTATGGATGTTCTCGAGGCACCCTATTTTAGAATGGGCTGCCTCAAGACTGTCCATTATTTTAAAGGGTGCCTTGACTGAAAAAAGGTTGAGAAACACTGCATTATATATACAGTATATAGACATAAAGATATATATATATATGTATTATATTTTATACAGTATATATCATGATATACATTTTCATGGATGTAAATGTATAATAAACAGACACATAGTTCATAACAAGGAAAGAAAACTTTGTGTTCATGAGTGATTCCACTTTGTAAAAGTTGGAGTATAGAGTTCACAAGAAAGTCACTCTGTATGGGTTCAATAATCCTAAAGTGCCAACCTTAATAGATTTATAACTAAACATTTCCTAATAAATATTGTTAATATATGAACGGAGATATCCAAGATGTCTATTACCTGTATATTTGTTGTCTGTCTCGATCCTAAAATAAACTGTTACAACTTCAGGCTTGCTATGAGTTTCTGTGTTTTGCAGGATTTGTAATAATGAAAATCTATTATGATGTCTGTAGTGCCAGAAGCATTTAGAAGAGTAAGATTTGTGTTAATGTGTCTTAGCTAATCAATAATGTGATCAGGCCAAGCAGCCCTCCTATATTGTGGTGTTTGGCCGTCAACGAGCAAAGCAGAGGAAATAAAGCCGGCCAGTAGGGGGAAGTCTCCCAATGCAGCTTCTCCTCCTTCATTCAGCATGCTTGATTTTCCCACTGTCCTTATCAGAAATTCTTGTCACTGATGATTCCATACATGTGCCAAATGTCAACTGAATGGTGTGTGTTTGGGTAACATTCAGCCCATGTATAGTCAACTTTTTAAGAGGAGATATATTCCAAATAATAAGATTTTAGGTCATAACTGTAAACACCATAAGCTGTGTTAAGGAGGGTCACATGGGTAATTACCAATATATGGCTATATTCCACATAGAAAGCATGGAGGAACCTATGAACCAAGTAGGCACTGTTTCCCTCATTTTTTCCTCATTGCTTCTCGGCCTTTTGGCTAAGATCAAGTGTTGTATCTGTTCTTATCAGTGTCCAGTAGGGGTGCTCTGCTGTCATTCTTGCCGCTAGGTGGGAATGGCTGGCTGTTTAGTACCCCTGCTGGTATGATGGGGGCTAGTACCAGCTGGAACAGAAACTCAGGGGCCCACAGACTGTTGGGGCCAGGGAGTTATTCCCCTGGGAAAACCGGATGGGCCCAGTTCCTCCTAGTCCACCTTGTCTGGCCAGGGGCAAGGAAGGCAGAGAGTCTGTGGTGTCTGTGACCCATGGGAGTGGCCGCCCTAGGGGTGCTTTCAGTAACACTTGGGTGTGGGAGCCCACTGTGTGAACAGGCACATGATCATGATACCAAAATTTTTTTCTGCACTGCGCCTTTTAGGGCTAGGCCTTTTGTGTGGGTATTGCACTTGCATGTTTTTCGTTACTTACTGGATTTTAGTTTTTCCATTCTCCTGTGGATAAAATAAAAAACTGTGTCCTTCATTTTGCTCCACCTGCCTTTTATCAAAACCTCCCATTCCAAATGAGTAAGGCCAACCAAACATTTCACCTATGAGCGCCCGAGGTTGTGGAAAGTGATTGAACTACTACACTAATAAGGTCTATACATTTTCACAAGTTAAATAGAAATTTCCTACTAGCAGCCCAAACCATTTGATATGCTATTAGCTAGTTACATTTATAAAATCCAGCAGGGACTGGGGGAGTGGGAAAGGAACATTAGAATTTATTTCCCTTGGCAGAATGCAAGGCAAGAAGAATCATCTTTCAATATAGTGCAATCAGAGAAATAAAACCCTGTAACACACCTCTGGAGGACTTGCCAAATGGACCACACTCAAATCACAAAATATTCACTGAGCCTCTGTTTCTCCACACAGATAACATGTGATGGGATTAAGTGATGTTACAGTGTTTGGAAAGCTCTGCAAATAGTAACCACTGTACGTGGAAATGTACAAAGATGATTCAGTACTGCATGAAAGTACAGGACTTTGTTACACAAAACCTAGCTACATTTACCTTGCTCAGTCCAATAATCCACATAGAGCACTCAGGACAGTTTTTATACGTGTAAATCCACAGCACACTAAGATGTATAAATCATAAAAGCATTTATTAACACACTGTGAATCCAGTCAATAAAAAGTTCCTATGCGTGGGCATAAAATGTCTAAATTCTCTGCCACAATCTGATGATAATGCTTGTAGTACCACACAAGCTTAGTACATTATGCCCATAGTGGTGGATTGTGATCATGGGTCACAGTAATAAATTATCTCCATCAGGCGAAGATGGCGGGCACAGGCCACTAAACGTGTGCTGGCAGTGGAATCATGAAAAGATGGATGGCTGGACGGCTGACCAAATATAGTTGATGAAGATGGCAGCGCCAGGGGGGACAAAATGCTGGTGTATGGCCGATCCTCGAGTGGGAGCACCAGAAATGACGTCATCATCCAGTGCGGAAGCTGGATCGGATGACTTGACAAAGGGCCATAGACATGACGACAGTCCAAGCCTCATGTTAGCATTCTGCCTAGCTTGCTTTCCATTCCACCTACTTCTACCCTGGTTGATGACATCACTTCCAGTGCGACCGCTCCGAGGATCAGCCACTGAGAATGACGCAGGTCTTCCATAGTAGTACTGCTAATCACAAATACAGTTCCATGCACACTGACAATACAGGCTCACTCTAGGGAGATGTCTTTTTTAGAATTTATTGCTGAGTAACTTGATACAGGAGAGGGTTTAAGTAACAGGATACTCCAGAAAAAAAGCAGCCTTCCCTGGAGATAACAGAAGATGGCGAGTATATCTAGGATTCTGTAAGAGCAGTCCCAGTCTATATAACATCCTCTGATACTTAATTCCTTATAGCACTTGCACACCAAAGGGTACACAGCAAGGTCTTTACTTACAATGTCCTATTCTCTATCTGCCACCCAGCATCCACAGGAAGATCCTCAATGAGGGAGAGACCAGATCTCCAGGATGATGCCCTCCAGCAAATAATCCTTTACCAAACTTCTCCAGGTCCTCAGCCAAGCACCTGCTGGGTCCCAGGCTGCAGTTTCTTGTCTCATTAGCTATTTCCCAGGGGAAACAGCCCCAGGAGATCTGGAACCCTCCCTGGAGAGGAAAGAACACTCTGCTCAAGCCTCCCAAACATTTATCACCTCTCCAGCCACCTTCTGGAATCCTCCTTCCAGGGATTGGTGTGGCTTAATAAATACTCATATTGGCCCATTGACTCTCACTGACCTATATTCTAGAAGCTTCTTCCAGAAAGGTGAAAGAAATCAAACACCTTGGTAAGAAACCCTGACCAGACAAAAATAATAGATGACTGTTCCACTCACTATATTGAAGTAAAAAACAAAATTTAGCCTGACAACCTAACTAGAGGAGGGCAGTACATCAATATAATAATATAATAATAATAAGGTAGATGAGGCTGCAGAGCATGGAGCAAAGACATAGTTACAATTTGCGGTTTTACAATAAAGAAGTTACAATTACCCCAATGTTGCACTCCACCCATATGATTATGCATAGGGGAATAATAGCATAATACAGGCGTACCTCGGTTTACGAATTTAATGCGTTCTGTGGGACTTTTCGTATTGTGAAAAATTTGTAAACCGAAATGCGGTTTCCCATAGGAATGCATTGAAAAGCAATTAATGCGTTCCGGAGGTCAGAAAAAAGAAAGAAAAAAAGTCTTTTATCTGTTCAAAACTCTTTATAAAGTGCACTTTAAAGGCATAAATACTGTACAGGGACATGATTAAAAATTAATACGTAAATGCATTGAAAAGCAATTAATCCGTTCCGGAGGTCAGAAAAAAGTCAAAAAAAGTCTTATCTGTTCAAAACTCTTTTTAAAGTGCACTTTAAAGGCATAAATACTGCACAGGGACATAATTACAAAAAATTGTAAATGCATTGAAAAGCAATTAATCTGCTCGTATTGCGAAAAAAAATCATAAACCGAAGCATTATTTTCAATGGACTTTCATTCATAAACCAAAAATTACGTTAACCGAGGCATTCGTAAACCGAGGTATGCCTGTAAATAGTAATCCAACAACTAGGCCTATCGTGCTCAACAGACCATGTAGGCCGCCTGTCAACCAAAGTGCAGGTGACAGGCTCAGATTAAATTCTTTAGGTAAACCCACTTTAGAAATGCTTTGGCTCCACCGCTGCACTCCCATTATTTTATATAATGTTCCCCCTTCGCTTGGTGTCAGCCAATAATGGCATTAGTTTAGGTCTAATTTTTCGTTTTTATTTTTGCTTTAGCAAGTTGTGATGGTATAGTTACTAAG